GGTCCCTTATGCCTTAATGTCAAGGTTTGTAACCCGCCCGTAAACAGGGGCAGGAGCTCAGCGCCCCCCCGCAGGGGCCTGGAGCACAGCCCGCGGCTGGGACCGCGCTGGGTCCGGGGCGTCTGGGGGCTCTGCCTTCCCTGACTCTCTTGCACACAATTTAACTTAGCTTAATTTTACTTCACTTTCCCCATTTTCCAGGGGAAAAAAGCCTCCAGTCTGAAACAGATGAAGTTTTATGGTCATTTTGTGTTTTGGGGTGATTTTTCTTGGTTTGGAAGCTTTTTTTTTTTTTTTTAAAAAAAAAAAAAAGGGGGTTTTCCCCCCGGTTTTAAAATATAAAAGGAGGTTTCCCTCCTGGATTGAAATATAGTAACAAACCAAGTATAACTACTAACAACAAACCAAAAGGCTAATATCAAACTAATAGCAAGCCAAAAGAAAATGGATACAATTTACCACACAGGTGAAATTTCACTCTTCTGCTAAAGGTTTCTTAGTGAAAAATTTTCATTTGTGTTTTTCAACCCCCCGCCCAGATTTGCGGAATGTATTAAAATTGCTTAGTATCATTAACAGTCAAGTAACAGGAAACCTTGTTCCTAATCCAAATTTATTACTTTCAAAAGACCTACTTGTTGTTTGAGCGACCTCCGGTATTTATTCTGCCCAACTTCTAATAATGGTAACCCTCGAGTATAAAGTCTGCTTAATCCTCTTCTATTTTGGTAAAAAGGAAAAAAAACCCCTTTTTCTGTCTTCACCTTTGGCAGAAAAGTTCTACCAAATAAATACCTTTCTCAGCTAAAAGCCAGGCATTTCTCGGCTTTGATTCCTGGCCCAGAAATAACTAGAGGTCTGCACAATTGGGAAAAGCCTTTTAAAAAAATTTCATACCAAAAAGAAGCTGTGTTTCTCCCCTCCGTTCTTTCCACAGCACGGATAACACCCAGCGCTTCCCACCAACCAAAGACCGTGTTACTGGGCTCTGTCTCGCGCTGCTCCCATGGACCTACGGCTTTTGCCATAACCCGTGGGGCTCTTCCTCTCCTCGAGCCCACGGGCAGGCAGCGCCGGAGCATCTCACAGCCCACAGAGATGCTTTCCATCCTCAGATCTCCCACCCCGAGCCACGGATGTGCCCTGCTACAAGCCTGGTGTGGGTTTCTTTGGCAAAAGGACGACCCCAGGCACGCGATGGTGCTGTCTAAGCACAGCACGAAGGCCATAACCAGGGAGAGGAAAGTCGTATTGAAGCTAAAGCCCAAAATAGGCAGAAGAGGGGAGAGGGATGGCAGCACCTGCAGGCAGTTTTGTGCTGCACCTGCGAGAGGACTCAGGTGCTGGCCAAAGCAGTGAGGAATAAAGCAGGATCTCCCCAAAAGCTGGGGGCGAGGCTCATCTCCAGGGCCACGTTCCCATGCTGTCTCTGGGATGGGAAGCGCCAGGTCGGCACCTTGGAGCGGCCCGGAGAGAAGGGAAGAGGAAACCAGCTCTCTGCTCACAGTGGCTCTGCCCCTTCCAGGGCTGCAGGGAAACTGGAGCTCCCCAACGCAGCAGCTCAGCGACAAACCACCTCTATGTTAAGCATGTGCTATCCTTTATGCAGGATGCTTTCCCCAATCAGCTCCCAGAGGAACTGCTTTTGCTAAATCCTGAGCTCAGCTAAGCACGGGAGCAATGCTCCGGAGCAGGGTGAGAGTCTGCGCCCTGCACCCAAGGGCCAGCGTGGGTGCAACTCCCCTCCCGTCTTTGAGCAGCGCTTGGAGCGGGACAGCCAGGGAGGAAGGTGTCTTACCAGCTGCGTCCCCGCTGCCCGAGGTCTCGGCGCTGGGCGGGACGTCCTCTCTGGCCGGGTCAGTGGTCTCTCCCGGCAAGCCCCGCACTACCTCCCTCGCCGGCATCTCTAAGGCTTTCCGCTCCTCCTCGGCTGGGAGCGGGGCGTCCACACCGACCTCCAGCACGCGGATCGTCTCGTGGCTGGACATCACGATGACCTGGCAACGTGCCCCAAGCGTCCGTCAGCTCGGGGCGCCCGAGCTTCCCGGGCTTGCTCTGCCCCACGGGCCGAATCCTGCCCTACCCGTTACCCTTGCAATCAGTGAAGCAGAGCCCATCCACTCCCCATGAGAGGGGACATTTGTGGGGACCAAAGTCAGCCCAGCACAGAGCCCTTGCCCTGGCCAGGGTCTCCCTGCTGTAGGTAATCAGCAGTTTCAGGGCTCTCCCTAACCAACCCCAGCTCCGTGTGCATCGGTGGGTGACGTCTTCAGCAGTAAAACACTGCCATTAATGGCCACACCACCTCCTTTAGAGCCCACAGGCAAAGCTGGCATCCCTGCGCTGGCTAAAGTCGGCGAGCCAAATTCTCTCCAAACTTGCGAAGCAGCTCTAGAGTCAATGCTGATTCACAGCCCCGGGGGTCTGAGCTGGACAAGCCTTCCAAATCATGATGTAGTTTTCCCTGTGCAATAGTGCACTGGGGCTCCCGCGGGGCTGCAGCCAGCCAAACCCCTGGGTGAAGATCACACAGCACCCAGAGCTTTGCAGGAGTGCCGAGAGCAGGACCTGGTGCCCCCTCTTCCTTTTATTGCGAACCAAACCTGAGATTAGGCACTCCTGCATGCCCACGCGCGGGGGGAAAAACTTGCTGGTTATGAGCACGGAGCTGTTTTCCCCTGCGAGATGGCAGGCTGCACATGCAGTGGGGCTCAGGCCGTCTTCGAAACCCCCTCCCAACCCGCCGGTTTTGGGGTGCAAACAGCTACAGCAGCTTCTCCTGCCGGCCGCCCCGAACCTTGCGATGCCCATACCTGCTCGTTGACTGTCAGTGAGGCCTCCTGGGGCTGCACGGCTTCGGTGTCCATGGTGTCCCCAGAGAAGGTGGCTGCAGAGGGCAGGGGGAGCCAGCTCAGGCTTTCCACATGCTGCAAGCAAGGGACACAGGAGCATTTGTCACTGCACCAGCAAGCGATTCGGGGGTCACACGTCGGCTCGACCTGGGAGCAGAACAAACTGGTCTCTGCTGCCGCCTACCTGCCCCTCTCTGGCCCTACGATCCACCTCTCCCCGCTCTGTGCTGGCCCTGAGGGCAACTCGGAGCAGGGCAAAGCTTGCTAACGCACCTCTGCCCCACACTGTGGCCACGTATACAGCTCCCTGGAGGCAGGTTTTGGTGCGACAGGTGCTTTCCACCACCTCCTTCCTCCTCAGGAGGCTGCAAAAGGCTTGTGGGTGCCATATAATTGTGTCAAATATTCAACGGGCAAAGCAAGGGAACAGTTATGCCAAGGATCAAACCTTTCCCCTTCTCCTCTCCCACTGCCCTGTGGGAGAAGAGGACCCAATTCCTACTGCGCCCTTGAAAAATCCCTAAAATTGAGGCATGGCCCATGCGAAACCGCTCCTGTGTGAAGCACAGAGCAGGTCCCCAAGTGACATATCACAGCCATCGCGAGCCCCCGACGCTGAATGCAAGAGGCAGGAGAGTCAATTTGCTCTTTCCTGAGGGGATCTCATTTGATGCGGCTGTTTCATTAGGCTGAAATTTCCCGGTGGGCGAAATGGGTTTTTCACGAAGGGAAGGGACTCGGCACACCTGTTGGAAGGCAACTCTTCCTCTTTTAACGTCCTTCATTAACTCATTTGGTCACGTATTGTCCCTTTGCTGCCTTACAGAAGCATAATTGCCTTTATAAGCGGCTTATGAATTTTTTATTAGCAATGTCTCTGGGATGCATTTAACCAGCCAGCCTGGATGACATTCAAAATTACTTGATGCATGTGCGAAGGTGTCCTTGTTTGTGTAACTGCTCAGGAGCCCGGCGGCATGTTTACACTGGTAGGTGCAGCCAGACCCACGCTCTCTCGGCCCAGGCTGTCCCAAAACGCCAGGCAGCGCGTGCTCACCTCCGGCCCGGGAGCCTACCAGTGGACCTATCTCCAACCAAGGCCTGATCCTGCCTCCCCCCCAAGCAAAGGTGCTGGCACGGTGCAGAACAGCCAGCTCGGTCCTGCGTGAGCTCTGCGAATCCGCAATCTCTGTCCCCCACACTGAGCACCCCAACTGGAGAGAGCGCTCGGCCAGAGCCCCCCAGGGACCACCACTGATCCAAAAGGGAATTTCTCCTCCAAAGCTGCATTAATTTATCTTGTCTGAGGGGTTTTACTTCCGCAAGGGAATGTGGCCTGCTGCGGAGACCCCCTGCCACCCTGCAGCTCAGCTCTCCCATGATATATCACCCAGTCATGTCAGACCACGAGGTGTTTCCCGCCCAGCCAAAAGGATCCGGGGAACATCCCTTTGGCTTCGTTTTATGAGCCATTTAATAGTGCTTACTGTGTTCTGCTTCGCAGAAGCCACCAGACTCCTGCTGAGGCTGTGGAGCGTATCCTTAGCTGGGCCTGGCATTTGTATGCAATTAGTAAACATAGTTATTTGGATCCTGTTGATCCAAAGGGGCCTAAATTGAATTAAGAGCCCGAATTCTCATTTCAAACTCAACAGGGGCTCAGCATCTAATTCCCTTAGGCTGCATTTTGTAAACGCCGCTCATTATTTATCATCCACAGTGAAGTGACGCTTGGGGTCCCAGCAGAGATGGGGCTAATTCCACGGCGAGCGCCGGGAGAGGGCTTGCAAGCCGCTTGCTCCAGATCTGCCCCCTTGCTTGGCTCTGCTGGGCTCAACCCAAAGATACAAGCAGATCCCAAAACCAGCGTGACTCTGCCGGCCGCAGCGAGCCAGAAGGTTTTAGCCCCGCTGTCAGATTAAATGAGGACGTTTAGAGCAGCCAGTGACTGATCTCTGGTAGCTACTGTGAATTTTTAAACCTGGCCTTAGCTTCAGAGTAGGCAAACACCTCGGGATGCCAGTGCACTGTTTAATTAACAATTTATTCTAGTGCAACAGAGAACAGAGCAAGGGACGAGCGAGTGGCTTATGCAGGCATCTGGCGTTATTAAAAGTTAATGAGCTCTCCAACAGCCTGAGCCTCGCAAACAGCAAGGAAGTCAGAGGAAGGGGTATCTGCACTGCCTGAGAGGGGCAGCCAGAGTGAAAAAACAGAAATGCAACAGTGCAAAGCGTCCTGCTGCAAAAAGAGTGAACGAGAGAAGGAAAACCTCTCCCATGGGAAGAGGCACTCTCTGAATTTCTCTGGGGGCAGCTGGGAGCTCAGTGGCTGGCAGGGGGGACAGGGAAGGCTCTGCCCCTGCGTCCTGCAGAATTCACCCCACGGGGTGCAAATATGCTCTAGATCGCTGGCTATAAATGACGTGATCTTCCCTCTGCATCACCAGACCGTGCTGGCATGGGTAGATGCTGGCATGGCTTTAGAGCAGCCCCCAGGGCTTTGCTGACTGGGAATAACCACCCAGCATCTTCCCAACACTCGGCACGTGGCTGCTCCTTCCTATCGCTACACCGGAGCCTGTCGTTAGATGAGACGAATCCCAAGAGCAGAGCAGTATCTAAACAGCTGTGTTACCTACACAGCACTAAATCTCGTCCTGGCGGAGAATCACGCGGTCCCTATGCTAGTCCGAAACGCAGCTGCGCAAGCAGGTCCCCAAGCCCGCACAGGAGTCGAGCACCCAACTCCCTTGGGCGGCTTGGGAAGTGCCAGGCAAGGGAACAGCGGCTGGATAGAAAGGGGAGGAACGGCCCCAGCGCTGCTCGGTCTGCAGGGAGACTCTTCCTAAAAAGCTGGGGCATGCTTTAAGAAACCAGAAAACCTCCGTGGAGCACTGCACGTTTGCTCTGGAGCAGCGCCCAGAGGGGACAGCGAGCACCAGGAAGCCTCCGGGAAGTGAGTGCACCCCGACACAGCAGCTATCTGCAAGGAAATCTGGGGCCGGGAGCCCCGAGTACTCACTCACTGTTTGCTCCGGGGTGGAAGAAGGCTCCCGGCGGGCAACAGGGTGGTCTTGCAGGTCCTGCTTGTCAGGGCAGGCTCTTCAGCTGAGGCGGTCCAGTTCACTTGGTCGGCTGTAGGGGAAGAAAAACCACAGCTATTTCAGTGCCGAGAGCGCCCGGCAACGCTCCTTTCGCCTGGGCATTTCGGGAACGTCCCGGGAAGCGATGAGGAGGAACGAGATCCCATGCGTCTCGGCAAGACAGGACAACTAGCAAGCACCCTCGTCCCTGCAAGTTAATTCCCCCTTATCACTGCCAAGGGAGACGGAACGAAGCAAAAAGGAGATTCAAGCCTAATCTGTGAGCCGTCCCTAAAGCCCGCAGTAACTAAAAGCGAACAGATGTATTCACTTGCCTCGGAGATTCGGAGTTTGCCCATCTAAGGACTGTTGCAAATAGCAGCCCTCGTTTTTATCTGCCCAAATCCATCACTAGTTAAAGAGCCTCACTCAGAACCGCAGATTTATTCTAGCAAGACCAGAGCGGCGCAAGGCTGAAGAGGGCATAATATCCATGCTCTAACTGCTGTCTTTATCTCAGCGAGAGACTTAGATCTGTCCAGGCCTGCCCCACGGGGGAAGCCTCAAATAACGCGGCGAGAAGAGGAGCGAGAAATTTTTCTCAGTGCTGTGCAAAGAGACCAATTAGTGCGCGAGACGATTAAACAGACATTTCATAATGTCAGGCTCGGCGCGGTTGGGCGGCACGCTTCGGATTGCGGCGCGGGCTGCCTCTCGCTTAGCAGACGTTGTGCAGGTTCGTAGCACCGTTTCATTTTGCTTCTTCACACGTTTTTTTGCAATTAATGGGACAAATAATTTGGCCAGATGGTGGTGTTAAGCGCAACGCAGCAAGAAGACAGCCATTTCACAACAGATGGTGACAAGGAAATGAAATGCACAAAATAATAATAATATTAAAAAAAAAGAAGGCAAAAAAAAAGAGAGGATAATTTAAGATGCTCTGAGTCTCACTGTGAATATAATTGCCATGTTAATTACACGTGTTGATGAGTCAGAGATGTAGCCACTTGGATCCCAAGTGGGTGAAAATCTAAGTTTGAACAAACTTGCCACAGGTGAGAAGCCCTAAGAGGTTAATTAGACCTGGTCTATATAGAAGACACTTTGGACATGCTTACAGCTTGCTAATTACTCACTATCGTTATCCTGCCTTAATTCTTTTGGAGGGATGCTCCTATTCCAGGCTGAGAGTTTTTAATGCACCAGAAGCAGTGTGACAGCGAGGCAAGGCGCTGCCTCCAGCTAGAGAAACCCTAAAAATTGGTGCCAACGCACTGAGTTCTTCCCCTAAAACAGTCCTGGGAATTATCGCACCGGCTTTACACATCTAGAAGTGGGAAGTGCCAGGCAAACGTACCGAAACGCTGACCGTCTCCCCGCTCCGAAGCCGTCACCCATCCCAAGGGAACGGGTTTCGGCTGTGGTCTCTCTCTCCCCGCGAACGAAGCGTATCCTGATAACGCGCGGCACCTCTCACCTGCAGCCGTCCTGCCAGCTCAAACGCTTTTATCATCACACCTTCCGGCGGGGAAAGACCCAGCCTGGCCAGCGTGCCATCAGCAAGAGGTATTTTTCCTCATTGTATTTCCAGTTCTTACGGTTGGGGAGAAGGGTCTGAAAACTTTTCCCCCCACCCCTCAAATTAGCTTCCTTCCTAGGAAAAAAAAAAGTCTTTTACCTTTCTACGGTTTATCTCTTTAAAGACTTTTCCTCCGATTGATTCATTATTTATTAGTGCTCCGAGCTGACGCTGCTTTCACGAGAGCCAGGCTTCGCGAAGGCAAATACAATTGTTAAAAACAGCGTTGGCATTTGATTTTCTCAGAAGTCTCCCAAGCTCATTTGGAATTTATCTTTTCTAAAAAACAAAAAAACCAGATTTTTGCTTGTGCTGAGAGGCACGTTCCCAAGCTGAGGCTCCCAGAACGTTTTGCAGCGAGTGGGCAGCAAGCCAGCAGCCCTAGCTGCATTTACTGATGGGGAAACTGAGGCAGGGGACGAGCTGGGACCCGCCACCCCGGTGAGCAGCTCTCCGACCAAGACCTGCCACGGAAAACACCTCCACGCACCCAAGCTCTGCCCCGACGGGCTCAGCCAGCCCATTTCTTTGCTGGGTGCCCGATCCCTGCCTAACCCGAACGTGAAGAATCGCGCTCGGTTCCTTAATGCAACCGTGGGTGCAAAGAGGCTTTCAGGACTTAAGAGCACCTTTGGGTGCTCTTTCTCCTTTTTCCAGTGGGAAAGGAGCTGAACTGAGCGGTCCCGACCTCCTCATCCAAATCTCTCCTCTATGCAGCAAGAAGCTTAACCTGAAAGCGACTCTAAAGCAGCCCGTTTGCATCGCTAGACTGCGGCAAAAGGGCCTTCGCGGCGTCAGGCCACCGACGCGATTCCTCGCTGTCCCGGGCTGGCTGCTGGAGCGAAGCCACCTAAAAAACCGCAGTCACCGAAGCCCGGCTGGGTATCCTGCGGCGGGGCTTCAGCGCCGGGGAGCGCAAAACGCCCGACGCGTCGCTTGTAAAAGCCGAGCTTTGCTCCCGGGGCCGAAGCCTGCCTGGCACGCTGCAGAGCCGAGCGCGTTTTTACGGCCAGCTGCAAATTCCTCGGGATCGGGGGGCTCTAACGGAAAGCTGGCGACAGCCCCCGCCGGAGGGCTGCAAAGGCTTTTAAGGCAGAGGTTTCTTTTCCTCTTGGGAGGCCTTTGGGAGAGGCATGGCAGCTCCCCAAAACGCTCGGTTACTCAGCCCCCGGCGTGAGTCAACTTCGTTCCTGGAAAAAGCTCCGCCAGGGCCGGGGCAGGCTAAAGCCCCAACGTTGGGAGCGAGCCCAACGCAGGCGAATAGGCGCACGCTGGCCACCCCGGGCTGCCAGGGGCAGCGATAAGGAAGTTTATCCAACAGATCGAGCGGCCGATTCGAGCTCGGACAGGCGCCCGCGAGCACCCGCTGCCGGGGCCGCGGCGAGCTGGGGAGGGAAAAGCCAGCGGCGGAGCACACGGAGCCCCCCGAAACGCAGCCCAGGCTCTTCCCAGCCTGGATTATCTCGTCCGAGAGCTGCGTTTGGACACGCAAAGTCCCTAAGCGAAGCGGAGCTGCGTTAACCGGAGGTTGGTTTGCATCGATTTGGCCCCGAGCCTCCCCGGAGCCACGGGGGACAAACCCTGGCGCAAGCACGGCTCGCTCCGAGACCCTGACCGCAAGGAGATGTTCGGGCGACCTTTCGGTTGCTTAATCAAAGCGTTTGCTGTTGCAGCGCAGGCAAACGAGCAGGAAATACCAGGCAGAGGGTCCTCCTCCGAACGCGCGCGGAGGTATGCATATCCAGCTCGTTTTACAAAATCTGCTCTTAAAAACGTGCAGGGGGGAGAAAATGTTTTACTGGGGTTTCCTGCCAGTTTGGGAGGTTTAGCTCCATCATTTGCAAAATCGTCTTTGCAGCATTAAACTTGTCTCTCCTGGCCGCGTTGTGTTTTCACTCGTTCGGTCGCTATCACCCTAAAACACTTTCAATCCCTCCTGGAGGGCCGGCACGTGCCGACGGGAAAGCACGCGGGAAACCTGCGCTCCGCTGCCGACGGAGCTGCACGACCTTGGTTGAATCCCTTCATCTTTGCCTTCGCACGTTCAAGGGGTTCCTGGGCATGAGCCGGTCCTAACCCCAAATAAAACCTGCTCTTTGGCTCTGTGGCACCCGGGACTACGGGAGTCAAACCGGGGCAGGTCGGTGCCACGCGGGTCCCGGCACGGGGAGCAGCGCTTATCGGCTTACAGCCCGACCAGTGACTTCAGAGGAATCTGCTAATTTCTCCGTAGAGACGGGGAAGTATTTTTATTCCCGTTGCACATATATGGAGCGGAGGGATTAAGCTCACCTCCCAAGGTCATACCAGAGGAGGGTGGCGAAACCGGGAGCGGATTTGAGACCGCGCTAGAAGCTCCCAGCCGTCTCCCCCCAAAATAGCGATTGCAGCATCAGTCGCTTTCTGCCTGCCGGTCCCGTAAACGCCGCAGAGCGAAGCCACGCCGAGGGCCCGGGGACATCTCGGACGGACACGGCAGTCCGTTCGCAGGACCCAAGGGGCCTCGCGGCCAAGCCGAGCATCCCCGCGCGCTCTCCCGTTTCTGGGCTGCCCAGACACCCGGGGAAACTCCCCCGTGGCCGCTCGACACCTTGGCTTGCAAAACGCGCGGCGGCTCCTACCTTCGCGCTCCCTGCCCTTCGGTCGAACTTGGCCGAAACCGGGTCGCTCTCACGATCCGCAGCCCAAAAGCACC